TAATTTTATAATAATAAGCGTATAATAAATAAGCGTAATGATGTATTATTAATATTAAATATTAACAACATTTTAATTGAACATATTGTTAACTATTTCTTGGCAATGACACTTTTATATAATGACATTTTTTTTATTTCTTTAAATGTTGACAAATTTATTATGAAATGACGGGACAAGAAATTGTAAACATAGTGTTGGGGCAATCTGAAGTTGAAGATAATGAGGGTTTTGATAAGATAAGCGAGCCAATTGTAACAAATGCAGAAGCTATAAATGGTTGAAAATGTGCTTAAATATATACAACAAAAATATTTAGAAGTTGATCCTCAAATAATTAAAAATATATTGAGAAAATTTCTTATAGAAGCACCCAAGAAGCAAAACAATGTTGCATTGATGAATTTACGAGTTGACAATGATATTATTATTATATTATGTTATATTTGGTTTTTTATGTATATATATACAAAATAAAAAAAAATTTTTTGTATATACACATTTAATTTGTATCACATGATTTGAACATAAGTTTCGATTTAGCGGATCTCTCGATTTAACGGATAAATTTTCTGAAAAAAAATATCCGTTAAATTGAGACTCGCTGTGTATAAGTTGATAGACATCTTCTATTCTTGATGGGATATGTAAAGGGATTTTTGCGTCCTCTAGTAAACGAATTTTATATAAACCACCTTCCTTACGCATGTAACAGATTTCCAATAAATTGCCAGCGACATTAATTGTAAATATTGCCAGCATATAGTTCATTGCCAGCCCCCTAAACACTCTATCATTTTTGGAATCAGTGGTTGTATCAATGGCATCTTTTGCAAGTCTATTAAGTTTCTTATGATCCTTTAATTGTTTATCAGAGGGAGAATTCGGTCGGCCCGTTTCAAGGTATCCAACTTCAACTTCCTTATTGTTTGTTTGTTTGTGCGATAACCATAAAATCGGGCCGACGCGCACTCTTATGAGAACCCTTCCGTTGTGCACCAGCTGAACTGGCTTGCTCCGCCCTTTTTAATCAGAATGTTGATATTTAACCATGAAGGTGGCCTTGAAATGCAAGGAAAATCAATTATATTTACCATACACCCCATATATCGGTATCCACGGGCAATTCACTCACTGCAATATTCAGTAGTGGTGAAATAACCTCTCACACATATGACCCCTCATTTACTACGGTTTCTGCTTCCATATACGCCTTCCATTTTGGAGATCCCCAAACTCGTCTCAACGCTATATAGTAACATTTCATTTGTTATTTCCTTTAGTTTTTCCGGCTCATCTAAAAACGTACCAAATGTTGTTGCACTGCCAAAATTTTTAGGGAGTTTCTCAGAGTGCCCATTTTTCTCTTTCCGAACAAAATCTTTGCAGACTTTTTTTAATGTATCGTTATTTGGAATCAAGAATTTTTTACTTGGAGCATTGAAAACTTTGCGCAACTCTTTTGGCATAGTTGTGAAAGGTACGGAGCCATCATCCAGTATCCCTGAACATAATGTATGGTCATATCCCAGGTCTTCTACTTTTATCTTGCGTAACTCACTTTCAACAGCTTCCCACATTGTTTTCTCTTCCCCAAACGCCGATATTGCGATCTTATGAACCTCATTTTTCAATGTTTCAAAATTTTTTGTCGCATTAACAACCCAGGGATCCTCCACATTCTGTAGATAAAAAATATTCAGTATAAAATTAAATGCACAAAGTGAACAGCTCCGCTGATAATAAACATAACCGGCTATTAACTTACCAAAGCATTTAATTCTAATGATGAACGGATATAATCAAATGCCTCAGAAATCTAGAAAACGAAAGATGAAAAATTATTAATTGAAAATATAAAAGATAGATGATCAATCATATATACGCGTGATCAGATTGGTTTTCTTTTTTCATATAATTTTCAAGAAAAGCAAGCTAGCTAGGGAAATATAACCTTAGTAGAATCCACGTATGATGTTAAGTGTATATAAACAGCCACTGCCCACGCCCTTTAAAGTATGGAAACCGCAAAGACGAGGTTCATTCACCGTTTATATACCACCATATGTATCATCCCTTCGGCATTGGTGTGGGATGACAAGAATAAGTAAATTTCCAACCAGACGTCAAAGATCAATTTGTAGAATATGTATTCTCGTCACCCACACAAGAAAACCAATAAATTCATCATATCAGATTTATTGCCAAAGGCAATCACAATGTGGCTATAATCCACCATTAATTTTGTAACTTACACGCTTATTCAAAATATGTATATATTGTGCATTTTAAATTTCAGATAGTTAATGCATCTGATATATTTACAGGTAGGCTAAAAGAAGAAATTCCAGACTCTGTGAAAGCTCTTTGTGATGCATTGGAAGATAAAGAAATAGTAGAACTTAACTTCAGTGACAATGCATTTGGGCCAGCTGGTGCAGAACCTATGACCGATTTTCTTACTAATAATCGAACACTTCAAGTACTAAAGTTAAATAATAATGGACTTGGAGTTCAAGGTGGAAAACTGATTGGTAAAGCGTTGCTTGAGGCAGCAAAAAAGAATCATGAAGAAGATCGAGAATCTTCGCTTAAAGTATTCGTTGCAGGTCGTAATAGACTTGAAAACGGGTCAAGTCAAGCACTTTCTGATGCGATTGCAGCACATAATACTTTGGTTGAGATTCGATTACCACAAAATGGTATTCGATCCGAAGGTATCATCGCCCTTTCAAAAGGCTTGGCAGAATGTAAAAATCTAGAAATTATAGATCTTCAAGATAATACATTTACCAAAACAGGCTCTGAGTCATTTGCTGATTCATTGACTGAATGGAAAAATCTAAAAAGTCTAAACATTGGGGATTGTTTATTGTCGCAAGAAGGCGGTATTATTATTGCAAAAAAACTTTTACTCGGCAATAATAAAAATTTGGAAACTTTAAATCTTCAATATAATGAAATTGACAAACATGGAATTTCTATCTTAGCTTCTGCAATTTCTACACATCTTAAGAAATTAGCTTCGTTGGAACTTAATGGTAACAAAGTTTATCCAGATGATTCTTCAATTGAGGAAATAAAAAATGCCTTGGAGGAAATTGGTCATAAGGATGCTTTAGGTGAATTGGACGATATGGAAGTTTCAGATTCTGAGGAAGAGGATGTTGATAAAAATGAGAGTGATGCAGATTAACAATAATACTATTATTAAATGTATTTTTTTTTAGAATGCAAAAATTTCTATTCCTCAAACATTATTTTGTATGTATGTACATATTACGGCATTATCATCAATAACACTTGGGAATTTTTTTCAGAGATTTATGTCTTTTTTGACTGCATATGAAGCCCGTAAATATCCAATGCTTGTGAGGAAATTTACGATTTTTTTCAAGAGAAACAGAATTTAATGTCAACGTAACAGTTTTTCCTAAGAAGTGACTTGCTTAATTTTTGGATGTTTTTCTTGAGTAGAAATTAAAATTGAATCAGTTTAAGAGGTTACTTTGACAATTAGACAAGAACGATTGTTTCCACCTCCTAAACTATTGAAGCAAACTTCTTTCCGTTATTTTTCTCCTGCTTATCAAATATCAAGGCGTTGACTAATTAATATAATATAAATATCGTTTGACAAGTTTTTATCATTAACAAACAATTGAATTCAAATGAACTAAATCCTCTTTTACATTTCTTTTTTGTAATTTACGTCAAGTTCGCGAGCCTGAATAATGTTTTCTTTTATTTTACTATTTATC